TAGCCACTTTAACCCTTAATATTTCAATGGATAATTCCTGGAAAGGTATATTTTCTTATATAACTGCAAAAGTTATCACATTCATTAATTCATAGGAAATTCAACCTAACTATTTTTGTCTAATCCATCAATTTCACAATTCTCAAGAATTTATTTCCCCCCCAAAGTAATTCTGCTCTGAATAATAAATTAATTCAGTTATACTCTTTTTCATCTATCTTTCAATTTAGAACAATTCTTTGGCCTCTCTTGGCTTTCATGCCATTGATATTTTTGAAATACCAGTTTTCTTTTTCTTTCTCTCTCTTTTTTTTTTTTTTTTGTGGTCCTGGAGATTAAACCCAGGGGCACTCTAACACTGAGCTGTAGCCCCAGCTCATGCCCCGCCCCCCATTTTTTAAATTGTAAGACATTGTTTTGCTAAGTATTCCAAGATAGCCTCAAATTTGCAGTCTTATCTCAGTCTTCCTAGTTGCTCACATTATAGGCATGTGCCAATGTGTCCGCATCCAGCCAGTTATGTAAGATCCTTGTTTAGCATCTGGGCGGCTATCCTAAGTAACAGCCATTATTTTCCTGCCCAAGGGAGTATTACCATTCCCTCATACAAGCCCTATCCTTAATCACCCACATCGGGACCCACCAGGCTCTAATCTCTGAGCCTGCCCCATAAAAGCCCCAGAACTCAATCCTGTGTTGCCCCTCTCCACTATGGAGGGATGTGCCTTTATTTGTCAGCTCTGACAAATAAACTCTCTCATGTGTATCTCTGCCTGGTCTCCATCATGCTCTCCCTTCTCCTGGTTCCTTGATGTTTCTGATTTTGGCTTCATTTGATGTTATCTCATAATTAAACTGAAGTTTCTGATCCCAGCATGATACTGAATCTTTCTCATAGGCAACTTTGATAATGCAAAGTATTGTCAAGTTCTTTGTGTGTGCTTCTGGGGATTAAACCCAGGGGCTGTCTACCTCTGAGCAACATCCCCTACCCTTTTAAAGTTGTTGTTTTGGGTTTTTTTTTTTTTTTTTTTTTGTGGCCCCAGGATGCAATCCTCCTGCTTCAGCCTCCCTGGTTGCTGGGATTGCAGGAGTGCCCCTTATACCCAGCTTGTTTTCTATAATAAAGTTGCTATGAGTCCGCTGGAAACTGGAGTAGGGTGTACTGTAGGACCATGCAAATACCTCTTTTTAAAAAATATTTTTTAATTGTAGTTGGACACAATACCTTTATTTTATTTATTTATTTTTATGTGGTGCTGAGGATCAAACCCTGGGCCTTGCATGTGCTAGGTGAGTACTCTACTGCTGAGCCACAACCTCAGCCCCATGCAAATATCTTGTTGCTCATCAAATTCCTGATTTATTTTCCATTGATGATTCTTGCTCAATCTTTACTATGACAATTGCAAAATGGTTCTCTAATTTTATCACTCATCCCATGTATTATCAGTATCCTACATATGGAAATTCCTCAATTTTCTCCATTAATCTAGTCAGCTTTCCTATCTTATTAATATGAACTCTCAGTTCCTCTTTTTACAATACTACCCTTAATTATTTTGATGTGCAAATAGTCCGAGGTTTGGCCAGGAGGAATCTCTTCAACCTAGCTCCTGTGTTCTTTCAACATGCCTCCATCATTTTGTTTTGAATACCTTCTTGCTTTCTGATAACATTAAGATGTGCCAGGCTAATCTTAATCCTTTTTGCCCCCTAGAGATCAGTCATTTCTCCAAAAATCTCTGGTTTCTTTTAGTGGGGAATGGTATTAGAAAACAAGGTATAAATGCTAGATATATCAATTGTTGTCAGGGTAAATCTGAGTCTAGTCCTGTGTTGTCCAGTTGGATAACCATTAACCACATGTGGTTATGTAAATTTAATTAATAAAAATAAATAAAGAGCTGGGGATATAGCTCAGTGGGTAGAGTGCTTGCCTTCCATGTGCTAAGGCCCTGGATTCAAAGCCCAGCACCACCAAAAAAAAAAAAAAAAAAGAAGTAGGGCACCATGGCACACTGTAATCCTAGTGGCTCAGGATGTAAGCAACTCAGTGAGACCATGTCTCTAAATAAAATACAAAATAGGGCTGGGAATATGGCTCATTGGTCAAATGCCTCTGAGTTCAATCCCTGGTACAATAAATAAGTACGTAAATAATTCAGTTCCTTAATTGCATGACTTATGTTTCATGTGCTGATAACAACATGTATCTAGCAGATACCATACTGGCCAGCATAAATGTATATAGAACATTGTAATCATTATAGAAAGTTCTCCTGGATATCACTGTTCTAGATCCTTGAAGTAGGCAAATCTAGGAAACACACAAAGCAAGAGTTCCTACTCTCCACTGTTCTTTGAAATCTTCCTATGTTCCAATAAAAAATTTTATGTATTAAACAATTATTTATTGAGCACATACTATCAGACAGGTACTATTCAAGGCCCTGTGGATTCACCAATAAAGAGACATTGTCTGTTCTCTTAAAAACTTACAATTAAATGAGAAGTCAAAAATAAATGGTATAATAAAATCCAACACAATGAGGTTAAAACTGGGTATTAACTGTATATATCCTATACTGGGGATATCAAGGAAGCTTCTTGAGAGAAATGATATTTAAATTTTAAGTGTATAAAGGTAAATAATTATTGGCCTGGCAATTTGGGGGATATGCTAAGGGTAGGAACACTTGCTATTCTCTATCAGATTTTTCATCTGTGTTCCACTTAGGCATTTTCTTTCCCACATACCCTTTCAAAACTCTGCTCATCTTTCAAAGTCCAACTTTTTAATATATTTCTTGGTACCTCTAACCAGATAAACCTCCAAACATATTATCTTGCCAGGCATGGTTGCACACACCTGTAATCCCAGTGACTCAGGAGGCTAAGGCAGCAGGATTGCTAGTTTGAGGCCAGCCTTGGCAATTTAGTGAGATCCTGTCTTAAAATAAAAACGTAAAAGGGTTGGGGATATAACTCATTGGTAGGGCACACTTGGGTTTCATCCCTGGTACTTCAAGGGAAAACAAAGTCTACTATCTCTTACTGATTTCAGGCATACCAAGTCTAGCCTTATCTTTGTTCTTATCAATATAATGGGTAAGAACATGGGCTTTGAAGTCAGATTTAATTGCTTGCTAGCTGTGTGACTTTATATGTAAGTTACTTAATTTTCCTGAACCTAAATTTTTGCATGTGAAGGTGGGATTAATAGTACCTCATAGTTAAATACATTTGATGATTAAAACTCAGCATAGTGATGGGAATGCAGTAAACTATGTACGTTGCTAGGAAAAATAAATAACCCTACAACTTGTTTCTTCCTTTGTTTGCTTATAGTTTTAAAATTGATCACACTTTCCCAGGCCAATATTTTACATGATCATAGCACACATTAATTATTTTAATGACTTCTGGCAAACCACCTAAATTATTTATGCAGCTTTCTTCCAGTCAGAATATAATAGCATATTTATAGGTAAAGTACTTTAGACAATTCTAAAAATCACATTTCAAAAATGTTACTTATCTGTTGTTTGCAGCAACTTTATATAAAAATATTTAATAATATGATTTAATATGCAAAAACTTGAAATAAAACAATTATTTAAAAATATTTTCAGGTTGGTAAAGTCTGATAATATCTCATTTACTAATGGTAAAAAAGATGTCTTTTAATAAAATCAATTTTTCTGAATCCACATTCCTATTTATAATTGGAGCTTAGTAAAACAAAGCTTAAAATTCATTCCTAATGAAATGGCACATCTTTATTGTTATGCAAATATATTTAAAATAGTTAATGAAATAATAATCAGAACTAATACTAAATGATAGCATCAAGGAGAATTTCTTTCTTTGATATGTTATTAAGAAATCTATGCCTAGCATGCACAAGGCTCTAAGTTCTATCCCCAAGACCAAAAAATAAAAAGGAAGAGAGCAATGGTGAAAGGAAGGAAGATAGGGATAGTGGAAGAGAGGGAATAAATCTGAAAGAGTAGGGGAAAGAAAGCAGGTCACACCACAAGAACTAGAGACAGCTTATTTTGTCCTTGACAGCCTAGTTAGAGGAGCACTAAATGAACTGCTTCATCATTTTTTTATAGATAAAAAGATGTGATTTTTCAAATGAATACTTTTAATAAAGCATATTTTTATTACATAAAGTATAAGCATGAAAATCTAAAATTCTAGTGCTAACTTTCCAGAGGAAGGAAAAAAATGGTCACCAGGATTAACAAATACCAATCCTAAAAAGGAGATCAATATCATTTCTGCCAAAGTAACTCACAGATGTGCTCTTTTCTTCATCTGAACAAATTTTCCTAAGATGAATATGTAAGTACATTTCTCTTTTCATATTGCCCTTACTAAATACATTTTAATTTTCTTTCAAGTTAGTTTAAGCAAAATAAAAACAGGGGTTTTTTTTGTTTGTTTGTTTGTTTTTAACAGGGGCAGGGGTCAGGATCTGGGCCTAACTGTAATAAGCATATAATCCTGGCTACTGAGGAGGCTGAGTCAGGAGGATCAGAAATTTAAGGTGGTCTCTGACAACCTAGAAAGACCCTGTCTCAAAATAAATAAATTAACAGGGCTGGGAATATAGCTCAGTGGTAAAGCACCCCTAGGTAATTTCCCAATATCACAAAAACTAAATTCAGGGGCATCCAGGATTGGGGGTGTGGGTGGGCTGGGGTACAGCTCAGTGACAGGCAGGACACATGTAAGAGCACTGGGTACAATCCCCAACACTAAAATAACAACAATGACAAAACCTAGAGATTTGAGAAATTTCAGAGTATACTGCTATGTTTAAACAATTACCACTCATATTATCAATATCTATCATGCCATTTATAAGTTTTCTACATGTTATTATTTTAAATATCTATGTACAATCCACATCCCCTTGTGGGTGAAATATACTTGACAGCTGAAATCTTTGTTCATGTTTTTGTTTTTTTTCCCAAAGGTGGCCTTACCTGTGGAGTCCAATAAAAAGTGGGGCTCAATCTGTAGAGTTTTCGTTTGTGGAAACTCTGAAGTGGCCTTGTTCGGGCTGCTGTACTCATGATAGCCAAGGATGGAGATTTCAATCTTGTCCTGTCTTTTCTCCTTTTCTTACTGTGCTTCTGATTAAGTAACCAGCTACTGGAGGAAGAGAGCTCATCTAAATTCTCTGAAGCACTGAAATGTCATGAAATAATTGGAGGGGGTGGGTAGTAAGAAGGGAAATAAAACAAAACAAACAAAAAGACAAAGAAAACTAAATGTAAATTGCCTTGGTCCATTATGATAGAAGAGCATTAATTTTAGCCAATTTTGTAGTGATAGTGAAAAAATTATATCAATTGGGCAATTTTACATATTCAAGTTGTAAAAATAATTTCTACTTCTATCTTCTCCTGCAAAAAACAAATACTGCCAAAGTTAGAAAATACAAGTTCTATAGTATTATATCAATGCTTGTTATACATCAATAATCCACACATTGTACAGAGCTGTAACTATTTACATAAAAAATATTTTTTATATGTTCTATATGTGAACCTGCTATATGGGATCCTGCTAATCAACATATATATTCTAAAAATGCTATTTGGTTCAAGTAGAATTGGTAGAGGGTAAACATAAGACATAGTTTTTCTATAGCAGTATTACTTGTTTTGAATAATTTATGATTGATATAAAATATTCTATTAGACTATGGGTAAATGACAAAATTCAAAAATGCTTTACATAGTAATGGGAAACCAGAAATAAGGGTGCCTTCATGGTTTGTGTTAGTGAAACAAAAAATTACATAGGATTAAAGGCTTAAAACCTGCTAAATTCTCATCACTGCATCATTAGTGGCTCTGAAATAAGCACTGTATACTATTTCAGTGAATCCTGAAACACAGCTGTAATCCTACTATATTTTAGGAATTCTTAAAAAATTCTGATGATACAGGTCAGGCACAGTGGCTCACACCTGTAATCCCAGCAACTTGAGAGGCTAAGGCAAGAAGATCACAAATTTAAGGACAGCCTTGCCAACTTGGCCAGACCCTGTCTCAAATAATAAAATAAAAAGGGTTGGGGATGTAGCTCAGAGATATAACACTCCTCGGTTCCATCTCCAGAACCAAAAAAAATAAGAAGAATGAAATGATCATGCAAGTTACCATGAAAATAAGCATATTAACTTCATAATTACTTTTTAATATTAATTAACATTTAGGTATTTAACTTCATTCAAACTAGTACATTACATATAAAGTAAGCCTTTTGGGTACTACTGAAAGGATAAAAGAAATTGAAGTTAAAATGTAAAGGACCAGGTTTTGTAAAGTTTCCAAGCTGCACTCAGAGCCTGAAATTCCTGTGGCAGTTAAGACAATTCCCGGAACTGCCTGTTACATGTGTGTCGAAATCTTCCCCTGACCACTTAGTTACTAAATCACCCCTTCCCAGAAACCCTGCAGCTCAGCACGTACACATCTCAGGGCTTCAACCAATCAGTTTAAATATATACCTATCTTAGTACTAACCAATCACCCCCACCCGACCTGGTCCCGCCAATGAATGTGCTAATCATGTTTTAGAGTTGTTATTTGATTTTCCCACGGTATATGATGATTTGCTAAAGGAGGCTATGACGTATGTAAAGCCCCTGCCCTCTCTAAAGAATGTATATAAACTCTGCTCAAGTGGTTCTCGGGGCTCTTTGTTCTCTGCTCTTCTGAAGTGAGCTTTGAGCCCCAGCATGCTGGACCCCCAATAAACCCTTTGCTGTTACATGAGAAGGTCTCTTGGTGGTCTTTTCCTCCCACATTCGCCCGACCTTTTCAATGACAAGGATAAAATTAAAGACTTTATGACCACCAAGACAGCATTACAAATAATACTCATAGATAAAGTTTACAAAGAGGAACCCAAAAACAAATCCCAAAGCTGCTAAATAGAAGAAGATCAACAGAAGAATAATTCAATTATGAGAATCAAAGCAGATTTAAAAATAGCAAAAAATCAAAATGGCTGGAAACCAGAAACAAATATCCACATTAACACTGAATATAAATGGTCTCAACCCCCAAATTCAAAGACATAGATTAGCAGATGTTATGTTTTAGATATAAGGTGTCCCCAAAAGCTCATGTGTGAGAGGGTTATGAGCATCTTACTCTCATTAGTAAATTAATCCCCTGGTATGGATTAACTGGGTGATAAATATAAGCAAGCAGGGTGTGGCTAGAGCAGTTGGGTCATTGGGGGTCAAGCCTTTGGAGTATATATTTTGTCAGCTGAGATTCCAGAGCTCTCTCACTCTCTCTGTCTCTCTCATTCTGCTTCCTGGTACCATGTCCTTTACCTCACTCTTCTGCAATGTTCTATCTCCCTCCTAGTACAGAGCAATGGAGTCAGCCATCTATGAACTGGAACCTCTGAAACCATGAGCCGCCAAATAAACTTTTCCTACTTTAATTGTTCTTTTCAGGTCTTTTGCTCACAGCAGCAAGAAAGCTGACTCAAACAGAAGAACAGATGAAAACATGAGATCCAACTATATGCTGTTGACAAGAGACCCATCTCCTAGGTTACATTTACATTTAACACAGGTTAAATGTAAAAAGGAATTTTTTTCATGCAAATAGAGTCTAAAAACAAACAGGAGTAGCTATCTCATATGACAAAGAAGATTTCAAGCAAAGATGAATCAGAAGGGTGGGGGCTGTAGCACAGCAATACCGTGGCTACATGTGAAGTACTGCTTTCAATCCTTAGCACCACATAAATAAACAAATAAATAATATATATTGTGTCCATCTACAACTAAAAAAATATCTTTTTTAATGAAACAGAAGGGACAAAATGTACCTCTACATCCTAGTAAAGGGAACAATCCAACAAGAACATATAATAATAGTAAATATATATGGCCCAAATATCAGTGCACACAATTATATTAAAAATAATATACTCCTTGACATTAAATCTCCAATAAATCCCAATAAAATACTGGGTGGTTTCAATACACCCTTATCACCAACAGATAGGTCATCAAAACTTAAAAATCAGTATAGATATTTCCAACCTAAATAATGCTATAAATCAAATGGACCTAGTAGACATACACAGAATATTTCACCCCCAAGACGGCTGAATTTACCTTCTTCTCAGCAGTTCATGGAAACCCTTCCAAAACAGACCATATTCTAGGTCACAATGTAAGTCCTAGCAAATACAAAAACAAAACAAAAAATCCTGATATAATCCCATGCACACTATCAGATCATAATGGAATGAAACTTGAAATCAACAGCAAGAAAAATAATAGAAACTACAAAAACACATGAAGATTGAACAATACTCTTTCAAATGAAGAATTTATTAAAGAAGAAATGAGAGAAGAAATCAAATTCTTTGAAACAAATGAGAACAGAGATATAACATCAAAATCTTTGGGACAATATGAAAACAATTCTTTTTTATTTTTATTTTTAGTTGTCAATGAAATTTTTATTTATTTATATGCAGTGCTGAGAATTGAACCCAGTGTCTCACACATGCTTTACCACTGAGCCATAATCCCAGCCCATGAAATCAGTTCTAGGGAAAATTTATAGCATTGAGTGCCCCCATCATAAAAAATAGAAACCCCAAATAAACAAGTTTATGCTGTACCTCGAGGACTTAGAAAAAGAACAAACTAATTCCAAATAAAATCAGAGACCAAATTAATGAAATTGAGAATAAAAAATAAAAACAACATACAGGATCAATGCAATGAAGGGTTTGTTCTTTGAAAAGAAAATTAAGATTGATAAACCCTTAGCCAAACTAACCAGAAGAAAAGAGAAAGAAGACCTAAATCAACAAAATTAAAGATGAAAAAGGAGAGATTACTATAGACACTTCTGAAATCTAGAGGATCACTAGAATTACATTGAAATTTTATATCCCAATAAACTGCAAAATTTAGAAGACACAAATTTTTAGACACAGATGATATGCCCAAATTGAACCTAGTAGACATACACAGAATAAGATATAGAAAATCTAAGTACAGCAATATCAAGTAATGAAATTGAAACAGCAATTAAAAACCTTCCAACAAAGAAAAGCCCAGGACCAGAAGGATTCTCAACTGAGTCACCAGACCTTTAAAAAAGAACGAACATGGTCTTTCTCAAATTATTCCATGAAACTGAAAGAGAAGGAACACTTCCAAATATATTCTATGAAACCAGTATAACCCTGTCACCAAAACCAGACAAAGACACATCAAGGAAAGGAAATACAGAGCAATATACCTGATAACATCAATATCCCTAATACAAAAATTCTTAATAAAATATTAGCAAACCACATTCAAAAACTCATCAAGAAAATAAAACAGCATGACCAAGTTGGTTTCATGCCTGGGATGAAAGATTGGTTCAACATATGAAAATCAACAAATCTAATTCACCATTCAAACAGAATTAAGACAAGAATCATGTGATCATCTCACAGATGCAGAAAAGGCCTTTGATAAAATCCAACACCCATTCATATTAAAAATGCTAGAGAAGCTAGGGATAAAAGGAAATTACTTCAATATTATAGAGGCAATCTATGACAAACCCAAAACCAATGTCATACTGAATAGAGAAAAATTGAAAGCATTTCCTCTAAAATAAGAAACAAGGCAAGGATGTCCACTCTTACCACTTCTATTTAATATAGTTCTGAAAACACTATCCAGAGAAATCAGGCAAGAGAAATAAATTAAAGGGATATAAATAGGAAAAAAAAAAGAAAGCAAACGATCTGTTTGCTGATGACATCATCTTATATCTAGAAGATCTAAAAAAAGTCCACCAGAAGACTTCTAGACTGATAACTGAATTCAGCCTAGGAACAAGATACAAGATCAAGGCACACAAATCTGTTTTTCTATACTTCAATAGTGATGCTGCTAAAGAAGAAATCAGAAAACCATCCCATTCACAATAATCTCAATAAATAAATAAATACAATATATTACAGTATATATTAACATTATATATAATGTTATACAGTATATATTAACATTCTTCATAGACTTAGAAAAATCAATCCTTAAGTTAATTTGGAAGAATAAGAGATGCAGAATAGCCAAAGCAATACTATGATGAGTGATACAGGAGGCATCACAATACCTGAAATTATACTACAGAGCT